AAAGGTCGACTTATTTAAAACTCCTTTTATGTCCATGAAAACACCCAACGCTAACTATTTATTGTCCAGGGCCAGCAACTAGTTGAAGGACTGAATCAGTAGATCTGTCAGGGGTGCATGCATGTTGATTTAGGTGTATTGATGTTGTTGTAATCATCACATCCCTTATGTATCTTTCGCATAGCTTTTCCAATATCTTTATAGAAAACCATGTCAGGCTAATTGGTCGGTATATTTTTGGGACAGTGTAATCCATCCCTGCAGGTTGGGGTTCCAATGTATAGGTAGGATTCGCCACTTGAACATTCATTATTGGGTTCTAATTAATAGTGCTGTTCCTAAATTAATGTGGATACAATTTATCAGGGGGAAGAGTAAAAATCCACTAGGTACGCTATATTTACTACAGGTGTATTGCCAACAGCGAGGATTTACCCGTTTTTCGGTTATTCTTACCAATCTTATGAAGTGTCAAATATTCACCATTATTTTATTTATCAAAGATTATAACATTTTTTATTTGGTATAAAGGCAAGTGAAAAGCATTAAAAATTAAAAATAAAGGGCTTTTAAATATTCTTTAAAAAAATTGTTTATTACACACCAACCAGAGAAGTACCCTATTGTAGCCAAGGTAAGTTACAGAAGCGAGGCTAGAATAAATTCCCTGGAGGTATGTATACGATTTTAATCACAATCTATTATTAGTCATTTTCACCTTAAGATGGATCACTAGCAAAGGCAGCTAACCAAATATTTTTATTGGACTGCCAACATCGGTAGTGACAGACCTAATGATAGAACTTTGGGGATATGAGGGTGTAATTTTCATAATTTCGTAGCGTAAATTGGGCATTTTTCATTTTCATATTTCCAAAATTGCATTCAGTTTTTTGATAACTGATTATTCTCCATTCAATTTTCCTTTGTTAAATCAAACTTAGTAAGGTTTTTGAAATTATGTCCAATTCGACAGAAAATAATTGGACAATATATATTTTATTATATTCAAAGCAGAAAATGTTCATAAACTTTAAATTTGTGTACATTAAATATTAAAAAAAATACTACGTGATTTTTGGGGTGACACTGTATGTCTAGAAACTATAATTTTGGAATATTCGATTTCTCAACAAAAATAATTATTTTATTTAAAAAAAAAAATGAACGTGTATCATGAACAAGTTTGTTACGTTAGTGGCAAAAAAATCTTTGAATCCAATTATTGGGATAACTGGTGGAAACAACAAATGAGGCAAACATAAATATTTTGTTTGTACTTTAGAACATTTAACTGATTAAACATAAACAGATTTTGAATATTTGCTTATTCTTTGAGTTGAATTCGGGGTGCGTTGTTTGAACAACATTCACTAAAACAAACAGAGGGTAAACCGTAGGAGAACTTGATTTAAAATAATAACTTTAGCAAATCATTCGCAAACGAGATTTGTATCCAACAAAATACTATCTACAGGTAATAATACTGCTGAATTAAGTTAATTGAAGATATGTACTATTAAAAGGTTGTCATCGCCGTCATGATATGGTTGATTTTTGTAAATTTTCAGTTGGAAAATTAATTTAGAACAAGTCATAGAAGGAATATTTAATGATAGGTAAAATTTTGTTAGGATATGTTTATGTATGCAAAGATAAAATAAAGGAAGCTGATATACAGAGTTAGAAAGCACAATCAGATAGAGAAGGAGAGCAGCTGGAGCAGAAATGAATAAGAGGCTGTGAAGGTATGATATTCCTTGTCCCACAACTATCTTCATTGGAATATTGATTTTCTTAATTCATAGAAGTACAATTTAATATTTTTCTTTTTTATTTGACAATATTCTAATCTTTTAAAATTATTTATCAATCTACAGTTACCATATACAATAACTAAACTCTAACTATACATTATAACTAAAAGTGTTATAAGTCTAACTTGCTACATATTAACCCCCTCTTCAGTGACAACGACAAAAAATTTAGTTAATGGAAAAGGTTACGGAATTGTTTAAGTTCTGTTTCCTAGTTTCTCTGTTAGGTGTGTCTAAGTGAGCAGGTTTAATTCTGTCTATAGAGATGACCTGTTCTTTGCCATATTTTTTAATAAAAAAGGTTTTTCATGAACGTTGTAGGACTTTGAAAGGTCCTTTGTATGGTTAATACAAAATAGAAGTTTTTCTTGGAACTTCCATGAAATCGTACTTGCAACTTTTTAAATCATCTTGCACGATAGTTTTGTTGTTTTTTGAAATGCGTTCAGGTGCTGGATGTATGAGTTAAAAATAATTTCTAATTTGTAAAAGTAATTCTTGGGGTATGAAACATTCTCCTGGAATACGTAGAGCTTGTCCGTAGACAAGTTCTGCAGAAGAACATTTCAGATCCTCTTTAAGAGAAGTTCTCAAACCTAATAAAATTACTTGGAGTTCCTTGTGACATTGTTTACTGTTTTGTTGAGCCATTAATCTTTTAGCTGGCGGTGAAATCTTTTAACTAACCCGTTGCTTTGTGGATGGTAAGTATTGGTATGAATTTTATGACTACCTAATAATTTTATTAGTTCTGTAAATAATTTTGATTCAAATTGTGTTCCTTGATCTGTGGTGACTTTTAAAAAAATACAAAAACGATGTATGTATTCAATAAAGAAGGTTTCGGCTACCGTAGTTGCAAATATATTTTTTAATGGATATACTTCTATGGCCATTTAGAAAATCTGTCTACTATTGTTAGGATGTGAGTATATCAATTTGAATAAGGAAAGGAACCAACTAAATCTATATGGACATGCTCAAATTTTGAACTAGGTGTAATACATTTTCCTAAGTCGGATTTAGTTCGACGGTGTATTTTAGATTTTTGACAACTAATGCATGCTTTGGTCCAAAAATTTATATCCAAATTCATTCTAGGCCAAAAATATCTTGCGTTAATTAAATTTCGAGTTCCTCGTATGCCGGGATGAGAGGTATTGTGAAGTATGTCAAATATCAACCTACGGTAATTTTTTGGATTGTATGGTCTAATTTATTCGGAGGAAATATCACACCAAACTAAAGATTTTGTAAATTGAATTTCTACTTCTTTGAGTTTGTCAATAAACTTGAAGTTATTTCGAAGCTTTTTTAATTCTTCGTCAACTTTTTGTTCATCGGCTATAGACTTTATATCGATATATCGTTCACAACTGACTTCGACTAAGTCTTCGGTAATACAGGACAATATGTCGGCCACGACATTTAATTTTCCACTAATATGACGTATGTCAGAAGTAAATTGTAAAATAAATATTCTAAGTGTCGAGTTTGTCTAGGACTTTTTTCTGTTTTTAAAAATAATGCTCTGGAATCGAGCGACCGGTCAATTCTGTTCGACAGGTGGCTCTAATGAATTAATTTCTTTAACACCTATGTGGAAAGAATTATAATTAATTTTAAGAAAATAAAACAATAGATTCCAGGGGGTTAGATGTATTTTCTCCTTTTTGTTCTATAACCAAATTACATGTGAATTGTTGGATTCAGCATAGAAAATGTATAGGACTTATTATTTAATTAAACTCAATGAATATTTCATTGAACAAATCTTGGTTACCATAAGCAATTGCTTGAAGCTTACATATACCTTACCTAAAGTATTTAATTAACAAAAGATTAATAACCAACCCTTACATGGGTGGTGACATAATTTATAAAAACCCTAAAAAAAATAATTTAATACATAGAGTTTCACTGCAAGGTGGTTCAACCTCTAAAATAACCTAATCCCATTAAATCCATAGAGTGAAAATAAACTATTAAATAATTACTTAGCTTAATTAACTCAAAATGGTGGTCGAGCAGAAATCACCGGTGAGCCTCGGGTTCCCACGAATTTAAACTTCATCATCAATCTCCTGGATGAAAAAAAAAAATACATCTAACTCTAGTCTAACTCTTCATCTACTCTAACTCCGCTAACTGGCATGGAAGCTACTCTTCTCTTCCTTACCACGCCGGTTGTCGGTCATCCAAGAAAACAAAAAAAAGAAAGGAAAAGCTCGATCGGCTGAAGGATTACCTTCTCGGCTTTGAGCTCCCCCAAAAATCTATGAGGTGAGAAAAAAGAATCGTAAGCGAGAGTCAAATAAAAAAATTAGTTTCTACCACTTACCTCGTCGAAACGAGATATCGCACGTCCTCTAAAAAACTGTCATAACACAAAAAAATCTGTTTTGAGAAAAATGCCTTTTAATATTTGTTTTATTTTACTAATGCTACTGTGACGCTGATATTATTCATTATTAGCTGTAAACCTTATTAGTTAATGTTAAATTTATTTACTTATGGGAGGCTTATAAAAAATATATTAATTCATGTCAAGAATAATTATTTTTTTCGTTCAAAATGGAAAATGTCATAAAATACGACACTTTTCTACATTAAACGTAAAATTATTTTATGTAATGAAACAAAATGATACATATTAATAATAATATAATAATAATAATAATACTCACCCCCAATTCACCCCCTTACGAGTGAATTTAAACCCGTGAAGCCGAAGCTTGTATAGGGAAAAGGAACGGCTATTATTATTATTATTTGCCGTGGCGCTCCGGGACGACTTAAAGATGACATAATTAACAGTGGTTTATTCAATTGTTTGAGAATTTTTTCAATGTTTTATAACAGTTCTCACATTAAAACATTAAAACTAAGGTTTACTGGTATCAAAATCAAATAAAACTCAACTTTGTCAAAATTAAACATTAAAGTAACTAAAACAAATTTTACTTAAATAACTACAATTTAAATCGTATAAAATGAATACGTACAAACTAATATTATTTAAATCTTTTAGGTATATTAATTATACTTTTACAATATCACTTTAAGGAAAAATAATAATAAATCTACTCTTATTAAACATAATCAGAATCTAGCAGCCTTAAATCTAACAGTCTTAACAATGTTGTACTATGTATTATAAGTATTATTATTGTTGATATAAAATTACAAATTTATGTAAAATGTACCATAAAAGTTTGGGATGTGGTTACTCTCTACCAAACTTAAAAGGTCTCTCTTCTTATTCTCTTTTATTTTAGGTCTACACTTGTAAGCTTTTTTAATTGAAATGGTTTGAAAATTCATTCTTTTTCGAGTAATCTCGACTTCAGTGAATTCGTTATCTTTATAGGAATTCTTATAAAATACTTTTGTTGATTCGCCCTGAATCACCTTGAAAATCTTGATTTCGGAAGTCTTCAAATTTTTGGTATTAAAACCAATATCTTCTGCTAAATTTTTCATCAAAAAAAAATCTTTAAAACTCATTTCATTTACATTGAATGGTTTACCCCTTTTTTTGGCACTTCGTATTATCAATGCATATTGGCTTGGAACATAGATGGGACCAGATCTGAGGTTCTTCTTTATAGCTTTTTCGATTGTAGAATGTACAGCATCTCCCTCGTTTTGAGTATGACCCGTGATAAGATATTTGTGGGTTATTGATTTAATTTTGGGGTACTTCATTAAGGCAAACATGTACATAGAAAAAATAAATCGATTTTGTTGCTGTCCGCAGCAATTGTCTGAAAAAAATATCAATTCAATACCTGAACCATTGTAGTCTGTCATTATTTTGTCAATAAAATTTAGAACGCAAGAGCCAATCTCATCAGCTCCGCGGTTAGCCTCACCTTCATGCCACAGGTAACATTCGGTATTATCAGATCTAAGTTCACTTATAGTAAAATTTAAGGTATTAGGTTTTGATTTGTAGTAAAATATTGAAACGTCTCCTTTTGGTGTTTAAAGAACAGCTTGTAGATCATAAACGGCTACAATATAATCACTACCCACTTTGGTTTTATCGTTCTCTTTTTCAAGTCTGGAGAGATCTTTTTCCTCTAAGTGCGTCGTATACTTCTAACGTAATTTCTCTTTTCCTGCATCATCTGCATTTTCGTAACTGACACACAACTCGCAACGGTCTTTTTTAGGAATAAAGAAACTTATATTAAACTCCTGATTGAAAATTTTAGAGTACATCTCATAGTGTGCTGCTTGAATCCCTTGCTCTATACACTGTTTCTTGTAGTCTGCATGTAAGTCGGCAATACATTTACCACCATCGATTAATTGCCGGCTAGAATTTTTCCTAATGTAGTGACTCTCTATACGTGGTATAGAATTGATATGGTTTCTAATTGATTCTTTAATCGACTCATCTACTTTTCGATGATGACCATGTTTACCTCTTTTGTCCAAATCAACAAAACCTAGTTCCCTCTTATTAAATACCGTCCTTATAACGCGATCATTCACATCCAATGTAGCCATAAAAAATTTCTTGCACACTCGTATGTCAACGCTATTAACATGAAAATAAAATGCATTATTATAATTCTGAGGTTTTTCTTTCCCAGAGAAACGAAATGCAGGGACAATAGGTTTGGTAGAGTTATTTATAAAATTCCTTTGTAGGGAAATATCACCTAATTCCCAATATTTAGCGAATATTTTTTTTCTATTGTCTTCGTTTACCTTAGAAGAACATTTAATTTTGCATTTATCACCACAGGGGGGTTTCAAAGGTCGTGCTGGAATATTTTTGTTTGTTTTTGATCTAGACACATAAGACTGGCCAGTATTGCGCAATTTTTTTGCTTTGTTAGTCAGCCACTCATCGACTCTTGCAAGACGTTTTCTCCCTTTCTTTATAATTCTAGTGTCTTCTTCAATCAAACTAACATTGTGTTCAATTATATTCTCTTGATTTTATGGTATATTTTTAAGGTCGTTTTGTTTAATTATTTCATTTTCTTCATCGTTATTCATATTTTCAGCAGCTGGTTGGATTGACAGTTCTAGTAATACTTTAGGATTATTATTGTTTGCTATTTGAAAAGAAGAATCTGTTGATCTAGAAGAACTCGATGAGGTGCTAGAAGATCTGCTGGAAGAACTTGAGTTGTAGCTAGGATCTTTCACAGAGTCATCGTCATCTTCCGAGTAAGAATCATAGGATGTTATAATTCTATCTGTCCGTTGATTTTCAGGGTGATAACTATAATTGGCCATCGGCTCAGTCTCCAGCCAAGCTTCAGGAGTTACATTAACTACAGAAATTTCTGAAATAAATAATATTTTAAATCTTTATCATTTTATGTATCACGTGTTTTCGAATCATTGTTTATCAAGCACTATATTTTCTGCTTTATTTCTAAATTAACCTTTACTTAAGTACTAATGAAATTGTTTGTATAAAAGAAAGTGTTTCAAAATCAAAAAATAATACTGTCCGTTGATTTTGTCATAATATAGAATTAAATAAAACAACATGAAAAAATTTACCTAAACTTTTATTTGCAAAATTTTCTTTTATGGGTTCAACTACTGCACTAGCTTGGTTATCTATAAAAAAAATATAGTTATTTGTCAACGAAAGTCTGAAAAAATTAAATAAAACTTATTACTTCTGTTCAAAAACTTACCTGTGCGGTTATTACAATAATTTTCTGTTTCTTCATTCCAATGTGCTAGTTCTACCAATTTTTTGCCACGACCTTTAAATTTGTCAGCCATTTTTGAATCCTTAAATAAAATATCACAGAATAACAATCTTGTTTTATTAAAACAATTAAATACTGTAAATTTAAAACTGTCTTAATCAAAAAAATCTGCCAATGATTCGGATTAATATAGTCATAAGACGTAATGTGATATTATTATATTCACTATTTATATTAAATTATAAAAATAGATTTGTAAAAAATAGTCATATCATATTTACGGCTATTTTCTGTTACCCATATAAATGAAATTTTAAAAAATAAAAACAAAAAAGAACCACAAGATAGGTTACAACTATTTTCTTTTCAGTAAAATTGTAAACAAAAGCTGCAGTTGGGTAAAATAGTATCATAACATGTGATATGACTCTTTTTTAGAATGTAAAATAAAATAATTTCAAATTATAACTGTAGAAAACAGAAGTTTATTGTTTTACGGCACTTTTCTGCTATTTTAAATACATTTAGTTCAAAAAAACTTACCTAAATTATAGTTGTAAGACAACTTATGACTTTTTTTAGGAGCTTCAACATACGTATACTTCACACAAACACTGATACGACACTGTTGTGGATCCGAGAGCGGGCAATCTTGCTCCCTGAAAAACTGACCCTTTCTCCATCTAGCGACTGTTTTTTATGTTAGAATTATGGCGGTTTTGTTGAATTGTGGATAATTAAAAACTGAATAGCATGGCATATAATATCTAAAAAATTACTTTTTTGTGTTATGACAGTTTTTTAGAGGATGTGCGATATCTTAAATAAAATGGAGGTCACGATTCACCAAAAACGAAAATCCCTTTTCCAAAAAGGTCGGAATAAAAATTCCTGGACTGCTCCCGTAAATCGCTTGCCTCATGTGGCTTTTCAGGCCAAGTAGGCGTAATACGTCCTCGTCGAACAGAGTTCCAAAGTACGTTCTTCGATAATGAAGATGGAGGCTCGTAAAAATAAAAATCCCTTTTAAAAAATCTGGAATAAATTCCACTTAACTGCCTTAGTAAATCCCGCAGTGCGGTTGCCTCAAGTGGCTCTTCTGGCCAAGTAGGCTTGATACGTCCTCGTCGTCCGGGTCGAACCGAGTTCACAAACACGAATATGCCGCCATCATGAGAAACTACCATGAAGTCAACTCAAAAAAATTCGAGAAGACGGATATTACAAAAAGAGACACGGAACCCAATGGTACCAACATCAAAAATTTTAAAGTTTCTAATTCTAATTATTTAACAACAGAGACACACTCACTCAAAGCCCTACTTAAAAATTTTATAGAAACCCTTGTAAATATATGCATGAAATATTCACTACACTATTTCTTTACCTAACTGCCCTTGTTTAACATCCCAAATTATTAATTACCCTTATTTTAAACCCCTTACTAACAATTTATTAAGCATCCAAAAATTAAGTACAACCCTGGTCAATTGCTAAAATGTTTGCGAATAATCTCTTTGGTTGTATATACAACATCTAATACCCCTGAATAATAGACCACACACAATTGAACTTCTGTGTTGACAATTATAACATGGTCTCGATGAAGAACGTGACCTGTGATTTTCTGATATCATTTTTCTTAGTTCAGAAATTTCATTGATTACATCATTATATTTACAATTTAAAGTAGATAAAGATTGTACGAGCTCGATGTTAATTTTCTCATGTAACCTCTTTTTAATTGAACTTATACTTTTCATATGAGGTTAGGAAACCCCAGATTTTGTCTGCAATATCTAAAAGTTCCTGAATGTCAGATTTTCCGGAAGCTACAAGTGCAATGCTTATAGGTTTAGGTAATTTCTTTATTTATAGTTGTTTCAACAAATCGGAGCCAACTGTGGATGAAAATCCTGCTAAAATTTCCATGGAACGATAATGTTCTGATGGTTTACGATTTCCTAAATCTGTATTAGATAAAAGTTCTTCTAATTTATTTTTCTCGCTAATAGAATGACGTTTAATAAGTGTATTTTTTAACTAATGATAATTTTGATTTTTTGGATCTTTAATTTTATCCCAGACTGTTAAAATAACCTCCTGTGGCAAAGATGCGAGTATGTATTCATATTTTGTGGAATCACGGGTAACGTTTTTTAAACTAGACTGACTCTCTGAAATTTGTTCGATGGTATTATTTGAATTTGTATCCATTTTATCTGGCATTATTTATTATTAAATACTGTACCAACTTATGATATTTAATAGATATTCTTTACTTTTAGTTACGTCTGCCTATGTTTCTTACGGAAAACGGTACAACGGTGCAACGGTACTTGCTGTAAGGGGACTGTGTAGGTCAGTGAAAGGTACTCATCGTATTCAGGAAGAATATATACAAATGTTTCTCAAAATATTTGAATCATAAACGAAATCGGGGTCACCAATATATTTGTGGGGGTATGATGTTCCTTGTACCACAAATATCTTCGTTGGAATATTAATATTCTTAATTCATAGAAGTACAAATTAATATTGTTTTTCTTTATCTGACAATATTCTAAACTTTTAAATTTTTTTATAAATTTATAGTTACCACATACAATGACTAAACTCTAACTATACATTATAACTCAAAGTCTAACAAGTCTAAGTTGCTACAGAGGACATTACTAATGCTTTTCATTTTAAGTTATTTATTTGTAAACTTTAATATAAATTTTGATTTCTCTCCAGGTGTGTGATGTTCCGTTTTATTTTTACAGTTGTGTTATTATTTTGAATGGTAAGTTGTAATGTAATTCTATATTTTATTTTATTTAAAAATGGATAGACTCTTTTCATGTATTTTCACCCGTCTTTTAGGTTATGTTAGTTATAACATCAGTCTTCCAGTGTGAAACGTTTGAGTGAAATAATGTTTTCCTACGATCCTATGACACACGCGTTTTTAAAAGTACTTTTCAAAATAACTGCTAGCGCCTAGATGGATTTTACACTTTTTAATCCTAGGCTGTTATGTACTTTTCAATT